GATACGATCACAACACCTTATAGTCTTATCTGTGCACGAAAAATATGATTGTATAGGCCTATTATGCGATTGTTATATAGAGCGGGTCTATTCTAATTAAACATGGATCATTTTAAGTCACTATAAATTACAGAGGTGACCGGAAATAGTACTATCAACCTTAAATTTTGATATCATTTTGGGTTTCTTTTTATCATTTTTTTTTTATTTAAAAAAAAATAGAGGGCCCGGGTCAGCTGGCACCCTTGAATCCGCCACTGCCTACGACCAAAACCATACAGTACCGTGAATGCTCGAATAATCGCCCCACCAAATCCGATTATTTTATAAGCGCCGCTGCGCTTAATCGAGAGTATATATTACCCTGTGTGTAAACACTTTGAGAAACCGGGTTTTAAATACAAGGTATACAGTGTCAAAATGAATAAATAACACATTGAAGACACAAGCATTTCTTTATAAACGTTTATTGACGATGACGTAGGACCTTTGATAGGCCTACTGAACTACGTGAAATTGAGATAAGTAACATGTGAACGGGCATAGAAAGCGCCAAGCCAATATGTTTGTTTGTTTTTTTTTGTGTGTTTTTTTTTTTTTGTAAACGCCGCTCTCGAATAAGCGCCGCAGTGAAGCCTCAATAATTTTATAAGTGCGGATTTAATGCCATTTTATTATGGCCCAATTTTATGATTTGCTATGTTGTAAACTAGTCCACAAATTAAATGACTCTCTACAAACCAATTTTCAAGCACATTCTCTGGTCTAAAAATGCAGACCTGAACTAACACAACACAGCAATGGATGCCGGAATTATACCGTATCTAACGTGCACCATGTAGACCTATCTTGTACAACTACAGTAGAATAATAATAACATATACATATACATATACGTACATTTTCTGAACTGAAGAAACACCATTCTGAAATACAACATTTTAGAAGATTTTGGCGGCTATACGATAATTCATGCAAACAAGCTTGCTCTTACTATAATTTGCGTAATTTGGATGTTATCAGACAGGTGCACAACCAGCCAGGTATCTGAAAGAAAATTGTTACCAAGTTAGTATCCTACAACTTAAGCCTACTCGGAAATTATTAGTTAGTGCCCACCGCGGTCTGGCCAAAGAGACGAAACCTCTCCACTAACCACCCACTCCCTAGCCGGGCCCAACTCGGACAGTAATGTTTCCCAGTGGCGGCACTAGAGATTTAATTCCCCGATTGACGATCCAGATTCCTCGACATGATATCCACACCTACATCAGCAGTAGCCACCTAATGCCAGGAAATTTCTTTCTTTCTTTCTTTCCTTATTTATTTATTCAATTTCAAGTGCCTTACATAAAATTGCAGTCAAATAAAATATTTAAATACATTTAAGGCAGATGGGGAGCTAGCACAGACACGGAATCCATCAACAGCTACCCCCTCCCCCTAAAATTTCACCCTGAGACTGAAAAAGTAGTATCCCCACGAAATTTTCCGACGGAAAGTTCAAGATCCTGTTCCTTAGACCACTCTTCCACCACCTCCGCTGTTGGCACCGATACCGATGCTTTTAGACTTCGAGATATAAAGATTCTTTTAAAAAAAATACCTATTTATTTGACTGAGTGATGTAAGGACATACCGTAGAGGTGAACAACAAACTCAACCTCTGATTTTTCGATTCGAAATTCAAACCTAACTTAACTGTGCTATACCGTATACAGTACTTCTGAAAAATTACTACGGGCTTGCTCACATTCGTCCTTATATAATGCATAATGTTGAAATGAAAACAAAATTGTTAGTAACAGGGCCTATAGGTCCCTTTATTTAATTTCATCGCTGATTTTCCGTGTGTTTCAATCCCTCTGTAAATTGTCCTGAGCGCTTACATTTGCCATCGGCAATTGATTATTTCATAGGCCTGTAGTAAATTGGACAGTTCTAATTTTCCACAGCTTAATACAGCCCTTATCTCCTCCCAGTAGTAAAGTTTACCAAACCATGGATCTAATTTTGTACGGCAGATAGTCTGGTTCTTAGCTTAACATACTGTATAAATACCATGTCCAAATATATTTGGCTCGTCAAGCCAAATTGTATTCTATTGGACATATCTTTATTTTGAGATTAGACAAATTCTTAATGCAACTACATCCTCTACTGAATAGGAAGTTATTTCCTTAACTATCAGTAGTCTACATTTGCTGGTCGATTTGCACGAAAATGTTCCCACGAGTCAAATAACACAGCAAGATGATTCAGTTACATTCTACTGGGTAATTCTAATTGAAATTATATATTAATTTAAGCATTCGGTGATCCGGCTTTTGCGTATACCTTCAATAGATTTAGCCCGTCGGTCTGGTAACGATGTTCCCCAGAGGGTCATTTTACCAACTGACTTCTCAGAGGACAACTAGCCTAGTTACATTTTTTAAAACTGTTAAGCACAATTGGAACGTAGCCAAGTTAAAAGTGCATTATCACTTTAGCATGAAGATCACAGTCCTATTAACTTAATGCGTATATAGTGAAATGTGGCTGTAACGAATATTATTATTATTATTATTATTATTATTATTATTATTATTATTATTATTATTATTATTATTATTATTATTATTATTATTATTATTATCATCAATATCGTTAATATCAATATCATATATAATGATAATAATAAACAAAAATAATAATGACAATGACAAAATATTCATTTCATTTGAGCATGAACATTAACAAAAATATGAAAGTACATGAATTTATTTTGAAGGTCAAAGAAGATGGGAAATTCCTGAAGCATAGTTTGCAAATGAAAATCCCAAATTAAATAACGATTCATAAGCCAATTTTACTTAAGCTAGAGAAGCTTAAAATACAACGGATTTTTTATATTATGAGCATTCTATTTCTTTTCTGTAAATTATATTTTCTATTTATTATTAACAATAACTTAAATAGTTCAAAAACTTTATATTTATATACGATTAAGCAATAAAATAAGAACGGTGTTTACAATCCAATATAATAAAAAAAACGTAGTTATCATCATCATAACATATATATATATGTATATACATATATGTGTGTGTATGTATATATAACATACTAGGTCTATTCTATATATAGGCCTATGTTGGAATAGTTTAGGCATATATGTTGAGCGATGTGTTATTATTATTAATGTTATTATTTTTACATTGTATATATACTATATATATGTTCTTCAACATAAAAACACTATGATCTGTTCTCAGCTATAGGGCTATATAAGGATGATGTTTTCCGAAACATGTCTCCGCGACTCAAGTCGATAGTGGTTTTTCTGAAGTGCCTAGCTGTTATAATCTCCTTTAGAATATTTGTAGCAACATTCATA